TTCAAGATTTTAAAATTATTTTGAGCTTGGGATGATGCTAAACATGATAGTTACATATCACGATCCCCACATATTGAAACTAAGTGAAAGTATTTTATTTATTACTAAGCACAATAGCCACAAAAAGTTATAGTGAGACTGGTTTTAATCAAGAACAATGTCTCATTGAGCAAAAAAACTATGGAGAGATCCAACGACTTTGACACTAAGCGAGATTGAGTCTTAGCTAAGCAGGTGTGAGAACAACAATAAAAACCCCTACCCATGTTGTGACATTAACCATGAGAGTCAATGAAACCCCGAATTGTGACACTAAGCGTAGAGATGTGTTAATGCTTTACTATTTGTGTGTGTGTTCTACTACTTTTGCTATACTTTGAGCATAACGCATGATGGAATAAGCTTCAAGGATGATTGATTTCTCCTTCAAGTTTTTTCCTAGTCCCTTGATCTTTTTATCCAAAAGGTCTCTGAAGAAGAAGAAACTTGAAAATGATGTAATAGATAAGAAATGGTGGCACCACTCCTAGTAGAAGATAAGTCAGGAAGGTTTCTCACTATAAGGAAATGATCTTTGATAAGAGATTCAAATGGAGTTGTATTCAAAGAGAGTAACTCTAAGGATTCTTGAATATGAGATAAAATCAATCTCAATCTTATATATTCATCAAAAGTGACGTGATTATACATGCTAGGACCTATATATATAAAGTTTGGTAGCTTGTAGTGAAAGTTAAACTAACCAGGATTCGGTTAACTTGTACCCAAACCAACTAACTCTAGTTTAAATTTGAAATTCAAATTTGAATTTCCCTCAAAAAATGATTTCAACTAGAAGAGAAAATATAAGCTTGCCACATGGCAAGATGCAAAAGGTGTGACAGGGGTGTATTAGTAGAAAAAGGGGTTGTAGCAACAAGTATGCAAAAAGTGCGATTAATGTGTGAAACACGTGACTTGTTAGTGATGTGTTAACCAATGAGAGAATGTGGACCAATATGGATGTCTACCATGATGGAGATATGACTCTTGAATCTTTCTCGGCCAAAACAAGTCCAATAAACACATTTACCAAATATTAGTTACACTCCCTAAAATACTAAATATGTCTCTAAAAAGAAAACTACAAGGAAATATTTTCCTAATCTATTTGACCTACAAATACAAGGTCAAAATTAAAATAAAATGTTTACAAATAAGAGAAAATGGATTACTATAAAAAACCCAAAGCTCAACATGAGCTTAGACTTTCTTTCTTCAAACTTAACTCACTTTTCTTGGTTTTTTTTGTACTTTGTCCTTAGGCGTGATGTCATCACACCCTCTCTTTTCAAGAGGATTTATCCTTTTCCTCTTCTTCCACACTTACAAAAAAATTTGACAAGTATTAAAGTTATTTTTTTCTTGATGATCAAATAGGTGTGGGATGAGCCTATCTATAATGACTTTTATTTTCCTGGGGTCTTGTAGAACCCCTTTTTATAAAACTAGAAGTCCTATTACACTATCTAAACCAAAATTATATGTTTCTAGTTTTTCTAAAGGAGATTTTTCCAAAGAATCTACAAAAATATGCCTTTGGTGTCCTATGCAATCACCTAGATTCCTAAGAAATAAACTATTTAACACAAACCTTCTTTGCCTTCCTAAAAGACTAAGTTACCTATAGCCACCATGAATGAAAAGCTTCTTGAATTTAGAGGAAAAACACATAGAAGGGGGGTTGAATATGTGTGTGTGAAGGTTTAAAGAAATCTTTTTGCATAAAAGGCTTTTTCATGTTTCATACTGATGTTTTCAAACTCAAGATGCATCTCACGTTTACTTTTAATATAACATTTAAAAGAGTTTTGCGTCTGCAAGTTTTATCGTTTGCATGAGAATGTTTCTTGCAATAATAAGTTAAACAAAAGATGTTTTGCATCTGAAAGTTGTTGTAGTGTGAAATAAGCAGTGAGTAAGTTTTTCAGTATGAAATAACAAATAAATAAATTTGCGTCTAAGAAGAGTAAAATAGTGCAAAGAGTTTTATACTGCTTCGCTCAGACTGAGCTACATCCAGTCTCCTTCAATTGAAGGGTTTCACTAGATTTTTAATTAAGTACAAGTATTATCACCACTTCTAGTTTGCCGAGTATTGTCGACCACTTCTAGCCCTCCAACTTCGCTCGTCAGTGCTAGTATTATTTGTTCAGCCTCTTCAGGCTCTTAGTGAGGATTATCGACCACTCTTGGCCTACTAACTTCACTCATTAGTGCTAGTATTCTTTGTTCAGCCTCTTTAGGCTCTTAGTGAGGATTATCGACCACTCTTGGCCTACTAACTTCACTCATTAGTGCTAGTATTCTTTGTTCAGCCTCTTCAGGCTCTTAGTGAGGATTATCGACCACTCCTAGCCCGCTAACTTCACTCATTAACGCTAGTATTCTTTGTTCAGCCTCTTCAAGCTCACAATGAGGATTCTTTGACAAGCCTCTC